GCCATGCCGGGCCCCGCCCCTCCCCAATCTATGAAGTTAACAAATAATCCTCAAACCACATTGATATTTACAGGACATCACCAATTTATGGCACACTTAAAATACCAATGAATAGCGTAGTCAATATATAATTCAAGTTAACACTTCTCGACAAGCAACGACTCAGGGTAATCACTGAAACAGTGAAAGATTATGAAGCGAAATATATTTTTAAGCAGTAAATGTCAAACCAACTTGTGTGAGTCTATTGACTGACACGTATAGATACATACATATATAGAGAGAATAAGATAAAACACGGCGTTCAACCTTGTTTATAAATAAGGAAAGGGGAGATTGGTGATTCTTTTGTCTCAAACAAATTAATTCAAAATTCAAATATATTAGAAGTTTAGAACACCACGCAGTGACACCAACTCCTGAAGGTTTACTAAGTTATTGAACATTAGATACTGTTCTTGTTAATAACTAAATAATCAAAAATAAAAAGTTACGAATCGTGTATATGATATGAAAACATGTTCAGTTTATGTTTTAAAATGTGCCATTTTACATTAGAAATACAAACACACACACACACACATGATAGCTAAATATAGATATATATAATATGCATTCTTATATTATTATACAAACATTCTCTAACGTGTCCGAAAACAATATCCCATTAGCCTAGGGCAGTGTTGTCCAACTTTGCGCTAGTGTCAGGCCACAAGACTGTCTCGTGCACAAGTGCAGTCTCGTGGGTCGTCGCTACTCAACAAAAACAAAAACGCATCATGGCTTTATTCAAATTTGTTAGTGTTATTAAGCGCCGGAGTGTTTACTGTAACAGAAAACAAACATTAAACAACTAAGCTGCATCTCAGTCAAAAAATAATACTAAAACATAAACTCTAATTGCAGCTTGTTTTTTTATATATTTATATTGCGTGATGATGAGTGGCTTGGTCAGAAATGTTTCGCGAGCCGCCAGTTGGATAACCCAGGTCAAGACCAGACCTGTTTCTTTTCCATTGTATAAAGAATAGTTACTCTGTAACCCTCTATAATACACATACAGTATCCTATTAAATGACATTGAATAGGATGTTCTTTATCATATATTTATTGTGAAATGAATTAACATTTTTACTTAGAATTGGTATATATTTATTTCATTTAAATAGTCTTAATTACATACACACTTACTTTCTAGTTTTTAAACTTGGTTGTCCACGTTTACCACGGTATGAATAGTGTTTACAAAAATAGTTATAATAACTCAAATGTTCCACGGTGGGTCAGCGATAAGTTTACTGACTTACAATGCAAAAATCCGGCGATAACGGGGCGAGAATCATGGAACCTCAGATCCACAGTCCGGAACGATAACTACTGGACCGCTCTCGGCTCTTCTCAAAAATTCCCGTCTCTTTAATTAAGGTAACAGTGAAAAGATGAAAATTTGATGCTATTTTAGTGCGTTTGTTTTAGAGCAAATCGTACTGGGATATCTGCTGTGTCCACCACGGGGAATCAAACCCAGGATTTTGGGAGTTATAAGTCCATAAACTTACTGCATGCCCACGGGAACACTATTTTAGTAAATACAGTTAAAAATCCAAAGTACATCCGTGTATAGATTTATCTTGATCACAGCTAATATTTGATGATTCTAAAAAGCAAAAGTATTACGTCATTTTGTTTGTAATTAAGCACAAAATTACACGATTGGCTGTCTGTGCTCTGCCCACCACGGGTATTGAAACCCGGATTCTAGCGTTCTAAATCCACAGACATACCACTGTGCCACTGGGGCTTATGTCTTCTTAAATGACAAGAACCGTAACTTCTTGATGGGAGTTTTAAATACATAATTATAGTTAGTGTTGAAATCAAAAAGTTTTTCTAATGTAAATGTAGTATTTTAGAACGAACATTTGCTTGTAGGAATTTCAGAATATGTACTTAATATTTAAAGTTTGACATTTTATCTTCAAAAACACTAAAAGAAAAACAGGGAACACAGTATGCCATTAATTAAATGAGTTTTAATGTGTACAGTTTAAAAAAGGTTGTCGTTAAAGAGCTGTTTAAACAGAAAATTCTGACTTGTAAGTGATAAATTAAAGGGATGGTTTCTGCAGACATCAACTCGAGCACAAAGTTTTGTAAGGTAACAGAAAGAAGAAAAAAAGAACTATGTTACGAAAGCATTAGGCTTTCTTGTTTCTTTTCTTGTTTTTCTTTTTTCTTCTTCTCTTGTTTTATAATTTATTTATTTTTATATTTCCTACGGTGATTTATTTGAAACATTAGGACTTTGTGTTTTCCAGATCTTGACCTAAAGTTCATCTTCCTCTTCAACAAGACAGGGTTTCTTTTCATCTGTTTCCTGGTTCTGATCGGTAGAGGAATGCAATATTTCCACATAAATGTTATTTCGCGTAACATTGTTGTAAAGGTCTGACTGCTGGAGAAGTGGCCGATATTTGAGCCATACGAAGAATCCAATGAACCCCATAAACACAATAATGGCTGCCATATGCCACGCAAAGATGGCAGTGACGAGCATGATCTGCTGGTGGTTATTTTGATCCCATGGTAAAGCGTCTGGAATAGGGTTATATAATATGAAGCCGATCTGGTAGAACCACGTACCTTGAAGAAGAGTAAAAAATGCTCGAAGAAAGACGACTGAAACATTCTCTCTGTGATTAATTTCCACAACCAAAACAATGGCGCTGGCCACTACCGTGTACAGGAGTAAAGTGTGTACATGAATGTCCATATCCGAGCGTCCATGAAGGTGAAAATGAAACAATAGTGCCTCAACACATAGCGCCATCACCATGGAAACGTAGTCAGAATCGGGTGGAACTGGAAATTTGTAGAAAAGCAAAATATCTAAAACTCCATTAATCCCAAAAAAGAAGAACATCGTAATGTGATGCGCATTAACCATGGCAGCAAATCTGCCCTGATCATCAAAAGCGGTTATGGTTTCTCCAGTTATTCCAATGGCGCAAAACAAAACCTTCAAACAACCTTCTACAGGCAAGTTCGGGAGGTGAGGATATGGGAAAGAAGCCCTAGCCCTAAATCTTCTTGCTGGACCACGTTGAGTAAGAACACGGAAGTACTTACCAAAAAGTGAAATCGTCCACCATGTGGCGAACAGGATAAAGAACGATCCGGGTAAAATGTGTCCTCCAAATGTTCCCATCGTTTAGTAGAATCGACAGTGGTTGATATTTGCAATAAGTGGTAGCAAGAAGCTCTTTGAAGTCTAGTGGCTGAAATACAATGAGTAGAAATTAGCTACCTTATGTAACAATTGTAAATCTAATTTTCAAATTCCTAAATACAACTTCATGATAATTTCCATTCTTCGGGAATATTTTTGAAAAGTTACAAAACACAGAATGTAAAACATCGCTCACTGATGTTGAAAATCTGATAAATAATTTCTCTTCAAAGTCAACGTGAAATGTAGTACACCTGTTGTATTTTATGCTAACAGTTGCAATCTATGCTATTGTCAGTAATTAAAAGCATGTTATATGTATAATATACTTATTTTGAGGTAGCATTTATAATAGTATTAATAGTTTTAGTGGTTCTTTATAATTAGCTTACATTTTAGGCTATGGGGTTTCAAAATGAAGTCTTGTTGATAGAAAATAATAATAGTAATTAGTAAATATTGCTGTATAAATAATACAAAAAAGCACGAATTACACAAAAAGAATATAAAATATTGAACAAACGTATGCTACTGGAGGAAGGTATGAAAATGTAACGTACAAATCACGTGGGTCCATAAATTTATTTTTTTACTGTCTTGCTTTTCTTCAGACATCTATTACTAATAGCGAAATAATTCGTTAAATAGAAGGAGGCTTTAGATATCTATAAATGCCAAAAGATATCTTGCACTGTCTCAGGTGACGAAAGATCCGTAAAAGATACACAAAAAAGTATACATGGTAATAAAATTTGATCCTGAAAAAAATATTTTCATTCAATGGGAGTAAGTATATCAACGTGAACATGTGAATGTATTATGCTGTAAACACGTTTTCGTAAATAACGTTTAGAGTACGGATTTTATGTTATCTGTTAAACATTTTATGTAGAAAAACACTAACAATTTTATCTGGAACTAATTATTGTACTTTAATGTTACACATTAAATGTGAGCTAAAAGGCATTAAAAATATGTGCTTTACTTTTCACATTTTCAAAAACATGTTAATATCATATAATTTAAAGTTATAACAATTTTCCGATGCCTAATGCTCAACAAATTTTTGCCCTCTTTACCGACAGTCTTAAATGTTCCGATGATAAAATATAGAAAATATAATAATAATTTTTGGGGGGATCTTCATCAACTTCTGTTATGGAATCGACTTCCCAAACACAAAAGTTTTTATTTCTTTTTCAAAAAAAAACAAAAAAAAACAACAGCAACAACAAAAGTTAAAGAAGACAATGTCATAGTCCTCAAGAAAGGGATGTTAATTTTTCAATGTACCAAGAATTACTTTTTAAAAAAACGTAAAAAGAAAAAGTCTTCCAATGTTGTTCAGTCCGTACTGTAAGCTAAATCATTACGGTCTGTAAATAATTTCGAATACTAAGGATACTATTGTTTGTAATAACAAGATTTAACAAATACATCAATCAATAGGAATATTCTTTGTCGAAGCAGAGAAGTAAATACGCTACGACCAGGCACCGTTGGAAAGATTCACGATGTTTAAACAGATCCATGATGTTTAAACAGTCATTCCTCCGAGGTATATTTGAAACAATGACCCCATTTTTATTACTAACAAGAGATACACTGTGCAATACTTATATATATTTTCACTAACTACTTACCTGTCAAACGCACGTGCTTAACCTCATGTGTTTACTCAAAAACAAACCCGTTGTCATAGCAATAGTTGCTGTAAAACATCTTTTTCCGAAGAATATATAGCGTGTATGGACTCTAATCACGTTAACTCTAGTAACGTTACACACAAATAAAAAAAGAACAACTTTTATAATTCTATTATTTATTTCATAATTTTCAGACACGCTTCTTAACCTCGACACTTATGTCTTATTATTAATCAGTATACCAACTATTGTAATGGCAAAGTATAAAATGAAAGAATAAAATAATTATCACTTTTAACACGTCCCTCAGGAGCCAAGGGGTGTCTTTACACTACAATTTGTTGAATATTAAAAGTAAGCTCAATCTGGAAATTCTCAAAGAGGATGGTTTTAGACAAGTTTTATTTTGTTAATTGATAATTTTTTTTGATGAAATACAGCATCCTCAAGTCTCCATACTAGCTAGTACTAAGGTCTACCCGCTGGGAGTAAATTCAATAAGGCCACGTTCTCAGCATCATTAATTAAGCAATTGCCAGCCTTTTATGCTTCTGCTATCACCTTTTTATGTTTAGCTTTCAATTGAGATACGAAAGATTTCACCTGCGATTCGGTAGGGAAGGTCGAAGCATCACGATAGTGAGCAGTAGGATGAGCAGACAGAAACACTTTGACAGCAGCTACAGGCATAATACTGTACTCAGCTTGCTGCACAATATCTACCCAGGGGGTTTTAAACGGTTCCTGAATACCTTTGCGTGTCATTTGGAGACTTACATGCTTCTTGTGCTTGGCCGTTAAGCTCGTGATGCGCTGACGAATTTCAGTCACCTTACCATTTCAAATCACTTTTCGCAGCCCCAAAGCTAAAATCATATCATTGTCAATCAGTCTCCAGGTGTCACCTTTATTTTACTTAAACACTTAAGTATAGTTTCAAATATACATATATTTATCCATTTCTAAAGTAAAATATCCCTAACACCTTTTCACATACATGCTGTCGGCTACACTGTACCGGAAATGAGATGCTTACAACAGTATATAGAGAAATAGACTAAACATTTCCAAGAAAACCGGATGACTTTCATGACGTCACTAAACTACCTTTATATATATATCACTCATTAGATTACACCACCATTCCCAGTTTGACCCTGAAGAAGAAAGATCCACCTTTCGGAAGCGCTCGGGTTATAGGGTTTTTATTCATTTCTATCAAGACTTCTTAAACCTACGTGTTTTTCATTATTAATGATGAAATACTAATGCAGAAATTAATTGCATTTAATAAAGAAATTTGAGTAAAATTATAAAAATATTCTGTGATAAATATAAGAACATATTAAATACATATAAAGAAGTAAACATTAAGGAGATTTTGCTAATAGTTTCCAATAAGTATTTTTAGTTTTAATAAGGTCATTTAAACAACATGGCACTACTTTTATGCAGATGAACACCTTATTGCACATAAAGGCATTGTGTAGAGTCTAAAAATTGGTAGTGTACTTAACGGGTGGTGGTTGTGAGTTATACTAGTTAGTTTATATAAGTTGGTGGGGATGTTATAGTAGTGTAATTTGTCTTCTATGCTGCTAATTAGTGCTTTACTACTAGAATGGGGGCTGGAATGCCTACCCTCAGGAGGTAAGATTACCGTACTTACCCCCAAGTGGTAGTACCTTATTTTGTCTTTCTTTGTTGTTTATTTATATATTTTACTTTGGAGAGCAGTCACCTTCCCACAACTGTCTGCAGGCATTTCATTCCTCTTAATTTGCCCATTTCGGATTCAAAATCAGAGGTATGTAAAAATCGTATCTCATAACTATCTTTTGTTTTTAGATATTTATTTCTTTGTTCTCGCAACAATCGTTAGGGTGTGAACGCCTTTTACAAATTGCGGAATCATGATTATAAGTAATTATACTTGTTATAAAACATTATGTTAGACTTATTATATACTTTAAAACTACATTCTCAATTTGATACTTTAGGATTTTTCAAGAATAAGAATAATGCATAATAGTAGTATCTCTACTCCATACATTCGTTATGTCTATTGCCGATGACTCGTTTAGCTTAATACATAGCTATTCATGCTGGCTGGGATGCAACGAACACAGAAAATCAAATTCGTTTAAAGTTTTGCCGTTTACTACATTTTACCGCCTGGTTCTAAAATTTTATTGCGAATAGAAAAATTGTTGAGAATTAACAAGGGCTTCGTGCTAGAAAAAATGGTAACATTTTTCTGAAAGCTCAAAAGAAAGAAAGAAAGCGATTGTTTTGGTTCACTTGCAAAACATAAATTGATTTATTCGTCGTGAAATATGAACTTTTCTGTGTTGCAGTTCCTCTGATAATGCACGTTCTTATTATTAAGGTACACAACAATAAAAACAGTTATCGTTATCCATGAAAATGTTTATTGTATTTTGGTTTCGTTTATAAATCTTTAAATTTTTAATTAGTACGTTATAAACAAACTAAGCCAGAACTACATCTCGAGATTTTTCATTGACATTTCACGCTGGGCGTGGCCCGTGGTCAGACTATGAATCCAAAGTTATATAGTTCGCAATCCATTGCTGCATATTCGCGTTTCACACTTTGTGGCTTGGGTATATTATAAGAGTGACGGTAATATCCCACTATTTGACTCGGCGGTAGGTGGTGTTAACTAGGTGCTTTCACTCTAGTCTATCAGGTTAAAATTAGGGAAGGCTATGCGCAGGTAGCCCTTGAATAACTCTGTGAGGACATCTGAAACAAGCAAATAAATACAGATGTTAGAGGTGTCCCACACATTACAATATCTTTTTAAAATCAGAAAACGGCTAAAACGGGATAGAAAAAAAAAAAGACATCATATGAAAACAACGTTTCGTCACTGTTAACGTGGCATCAGGTACTTAGCACAACTAAACACGACAATTAAATACACCTACTGGTGACGTCACAAGCATAACCTTGAGCTTTATTAAGTATAAACCAACTCCTTGTGTCTTATTTATTAAAGGTTTGCATTCCTTTGTTAAAATAGCTTCCTTTATTTTACGTTTATTAATATTAGGTTCTCGACAAATAATTTTAACAGTTATATTTTCAATACAATGCTCTGTATCTTTACAATGCTGTTACACATGCCCATGTTCCGCTATTCTAGTAGTTAAAGTCCTACCAGTCTCCCCCTATATAGAGATTATTACAGTCCGTATATTATACACAGTAAATTACTTCTTTTTCAACTGTAGTTGATTTAATTATATCTTTGAAGATTTTATTGAAGTCTTTTCCTGGTAAAAAAATAAATTTGCTTTCAACTGGAAGTTTATAACTCCTTTCTATTTATTCCCACAATCTTTTAAGACGAATGTTTAATCTTTACAATAACACAAACTACATTTCAATTTAATGAGAAATTTTTCGATCACATTGAAGACATAAGTGTGGGCATTCCATTAGCACCTGTTCTAGCTAACACCTTTATGAACATGCTTGATTATAAAGTTAAAACAATGGTTAATCTAGGAGTATTTTTTTTTTCTTTATCAGATATTTTGATGATACATTTATTGGCTTTGTTTCTGGACAAATGGTTGAACAGTTTTTAGCATTTTTAAACTCATTGCATGCTAATATTAAATTTAGTCATGGGAGTGAGGGCGAGTTATCTTATGTCATAGTCAGTAGGGTTAATAATGCTTTTGAAACGAAGGTATTTATAAATGGAACACATACTGTCCTTTACTTGAATTCATCAGCTCATCACAGATTTCAAAAATTAAGAACCATAAAAACTTTATTGGATATAGCAAAAGTTAATTGCAGTTCAAAAGAAGAGTTAGATAAGGAAGTATGTTATCTGGAAAATGTATTGGTGAAGATGAATAATTATACTCTTAGTGTAGCTAGAAAATACTTAAGAATTTATGTTGACAAAAAAAAAGAAAATTCATTCAGAGGTTTTCGTTTATTGTATAATTCCGCATATATCTGGTTTATCAAATACGATAAAAAGATTGTGGGAATAAATAGAAAGAGATTATAAACTTCCAGTTGAAAGCAAATTTATTTTTCTCCAGGAAAAAAAGTTCAATAAAATCTTCAAAGATATAATTAAATCAACTACAGTTGAAAAAGAAGTAATTTACTGTGTATAATATACGGACTGTAATAATCTCTATATAGGGGAGACTGCTAGGACTTTAACTACTAGAATAGCGGAACATGGACATACTCTTTCACATGTGTACCAACATTGTAAAGATACAGAGCATTGTATTGAAAATATAACTGTTAAAATTATTTGTCGAGAACTTAATGTTAATAAACGTAAAATAAAGGAAGCTATTTTAATAAAGGAATGCAAACCTTTAATAAATAAGACACAAGGAGTTGGTTTATACTTAATAAAGCTGAAGGTTATGTTTGTGACGTCACCAATAGGTGTATTTAATTGTCGTGTTTAGTTGTGCTAAGTACCTGATGCCACGTTAACAGTGACGAAACGTTGTTTTTATATGAAGCAAATAAACCATTGACAATTCATTATAAGCCAGATTATTTTACTACATTGTTTACACGATTGCAACTCTACCAGGCCCACTTATGTGTTGTAAATACATAAATGTTGGAGTGGATGAAAAGTAAAATGGAATAAAAAAAACAATATAAATATACCCTATATTAATCATTCATAATTACACCAACTGAAAAAGTGAAATTCCAATCACAAGTTTTTATAGCGAATGAAACTATTTTGAGTAAACAGCGATTGGTCATGGACTTTCTCAGTTCGTAAATGAGACATAGTATTTCACTTTATACATGGCTAAAAATAAATCTTGCTATTTCCAAGAGCTCCTTTTTTCTTAAGTTATACACATTCCTCAATCGAGTTTTGATGTATCGCTTAAACTTGATTTCACACTACATAAAAGTTTAACACCTATAAGTCGTTTCTCTAAGCTTAATGCAAATACTTGTAAAAGGTTACACCCACATTTGCCGCCAGAATAAAATTACATTGGTCGATACCATCTCTGTTACTGTTTACCAAAGGGTTAAAAGGTGGCCACATTGTTTTCAATAAAAATTAGTAAGATGAAACACGATATATAATGAGGTCGTAATGATTTATTTTACATTTCCATGATGCTGTTATGTAATTAATTTGTTTCAAATGAATAAAATATACACAAATATAAATTCCTTGTAATAGTGATTTATTTTTTACACGTATTTACATGTATGTATGTGGGTGTGTTCTTTATGTAAATTAGATACCATGTGTATTTTGGTATGCAGTTTTACGTTTCACTTTGACATAAAACAAACTGTTTCTTTAAACAATAGTAAATTGTTAAACTTTGGTTTAAAATGTATGTATATACGTGGTTAATTTAATGTGTATACATGTGAAATCTTAAAATGTTGCCCCCCAGTGGCACAGCGGTATGTCTGCGGACTTACAACGCTAGAAACCGGGTTTCGATACCCGTGATGGGCAGAGCACAGATAGCCCTTTGTGTAGCTTTCTGCTTTACTACAAACGAACAAACCTTAAAATATTTTAAGCTTTTACGAGGAAAGACGCTTGATGCAGCTCATGCATACGTTGCTTGCCGAGAATTTTAACTAGCGTTCACTATGTTTACATATAAATGTTTAAAATATACAACTATGCAAGAAAACTGAAAAATATAAGGCAAATATGATGTCAAAATGATTTGTGATTTTTGATATAGTTCTATCTATATACTTAAGGTGCATTTAATGTAAAATAAAGTAGACGAATAACAATAATTATATAAATGTTATTCACACGTAAATAGATAAATAGTAAAGGTCTGACAGTTTTTCAACCATATCAAACACCATTATATTATTACGAAAATAACTTTTCATCACATTTAACATAGAACTTAAATCAACACAGGGAGAGAACAGGCAATTTTTTTCAAAATCTTATTTCACTTTTGTTATCCTGCAAATCAGTAGACTAGTAATTATAAAACTTTATATTTAAGGTGAGAAATGTTATATATAAAGCTATTTCAAAGCATATATTTTTGGGGGAAAAAATTAACAAAATTACGTTTATTTTATTATCGCGCAAACGAGTAAAATGAAATTTGATTAAATAGATAGAATTTGAAATAGATTACTATATGAATTAGGATGGTTGGATGAAACTATAGTGTCGGATATCAATAGAGATAGAATTATATCAAATTAGTTAATTGCTCTTTTTCTTATATAATCATAAAAATGTATTTCGGATTCAAAATGATAAGGAAGTTGCAATTTGCAACTATTTGTTATACAACTGAGATGCAAAGACTGCTTCAAAATGTTTTATTGTTAATAAATAGTACAACCTTTCTTACCTTTTTCCCAGTCTGTGATATCAGTTCTGTATCTTTTGAGTGGCTAATGTTGTAAATACATTATACACACAGTTCAGCTCTTACAAAAGAAACACGGAATTATATACAAGCGAAAATGGTGCGCAGTTCGCTGACATTGTTTGTTAGTCGGAGCAATAACCATATGGTGCACGTTCTACGTTTGTGGGCGGTTCTCTGTATGGAAGTAAAACGTTACAAATGAACTCATGTATTTGTAATACACGAAAGTCGTGTTAAGGACAAATGATGACGTACCACATGCTTTTTATGCAATGCTGTTTCCTTCTATAGTACCAAAACACAACTCTAGATGAGCAATATACAGAGCAAATACATATATCAATATTATACATTTCTCTAGCAATATACAGAGCAAATACATATATCAATATTATATACTTCTCTAGCAATATACAGAGCAAATACATATATCAATATTATACATTTCTCTAGCAATATACACAGCAAATACATATATCATTATTATACACTTCTCTAGCAATATACAGAGCAAATACATATATCAGTATTATACACTTATCTAGCAATATACTGAGCAAATACATATATCAATATTATACACTTCTCTAGCAATATACAGAGCAAATACATATATCATTATTATACACTTCTCTAGCAATATACAGAGCAAATACATATATCAGTATTATACACTTATCTAGCAATATACAGAGCAAATACATATATCAGTATTCTACATATCTCTAGCAATATACAGAGCAAATACATATATCAATATTCTACATATCTCTAGCAATATACAGAGCAAATACATATATCAATATTCTACATATCTCTAGCAATACACAATACAGAGCAAATACATTCTGGTTTATATTCCCTGCAGCAGGCAGAGCACAGATAGTTTATTGTGCAGCTTTGCTTTAAAACAAAAAAAAAGTAAACTACTATAGGCTATCTACTGCGGTCCCTAACTTTGAACTACTGACCAGAGGGAAGATATCTAATCAGCAGCACCCTACCACCCATCATCAACAGTAGATGATTGATCGTCACTCTTATAACGCACCCAAAGCTTAAGTGCAGAGAACATTTTATGGTACCGCATGGATTCAAACCTGACTCGCCAGCTCCGAAATTCAAAGCTCTACCAGAAGGCTAACACGTGCCATTGTAATGCATATAAATTAGTAAGTTAGATAGATAGATGGTGTATTTAAGGAACCCGTAAAACAAAAAAATATTTTTCAACTTCTAGGATGAGTTCTTTATTTATTTGTACGTGGACAAAAATATACAGATAGTTTCTCCAAAATTGATATATATATTTATATAATTCGTTGCAGTAAATCTGAGTGTCATATGAAAATCATGATGCAATTTCACGCACAATATTTTATAAAGATAATTCTTTTACAAAACATCGTTATGTCAACGATAAAATTTAGTGTAAATTTCTTACACTCTCATACTCAGTTTTGCCAAGCGTATAATGTTTCTATTACTATGTTTGGTTTCTGATTGAATGGCTTTATAAAATTAGTTGATTTTTGGCTGGAAGGTTATCAGAAAGCTGCTTACTTTCTGGCTAATTGGTTTCTAACTGACTGCTAAATCCTATAAATCTAGTCGGATTCTGATTTTAGGAGTCCTTCAGACTAATTGATTTTTCACTGCTTGACTGATCTGATTCTAATTGATTTTTGACTGCAGATTACCAGAAAGATCCTTACTTTCTGAGTAATTGGTTTCTCACTGCTTCACTGATCGGATTCTAACTGCAGAACATTATACAAGTTTAGTGTATTTCTAACTGCAAAACCCCATTAGACTAGACAGTTTGTGATTGAAGGACTTCAAGAAACTGGTCAATCTATTTCCAGATTTTAATAAAACTAGACTAGAGTTCACTATAGGTCACCATGTGTATTATTTTGATAACTCAAACGTCCTTGAATAATTATTACATTCAGCATTCAATGTGGTGACGATATAACAAAAAGAAAAGAGTTTTTGTTTTGTTTTTTTACTATCCGGTACTAAAGACAAAACTGCCTTTCTTGTTTACTGACTGTAAATCAATTCACCCCGAAGAAGGGGAGGGGGCGTGTAGCAGTACTTAAGCAGATTGATCCAAAACTTCAGTGAGACACGTACGACAGTGTGTTTTGTAAGCACATGTGCTGTAACGATAAACTTTTTTTTTCAACACGTGTACATAATCATTTTAGTACACTAGAATGTAAGCATTATGTGAAGTTTGATTATGGATAATTTCCTAATATTTGAAGGGAGTTAGTTACTCGTAGATAAAGAGGGTGAAACGAAAACGTTCCTGTCATTGTTATATGTTGATATAAAATATGCAAATCATGAGCATATGATGGTACTGCCGTGCACTTGAATCGAGAAACCAAGTAATATATTACATAGTAATAAATGTTTGTAAGTAACGCACTCATATACAATTTTATGTAAAAAAAAGGGGGAATGGTTCGAAATAAGTACATTTAGAGTTTAGAAACTTTCATATTGAGGCTATAAATGAGAGATCAAGTAAACACATTATTGTTAAGTGGAAAATATAAAACTGCTAAAAATGTCTCAATTACAATAACAGAAAATGTCAGTTACATTTCCTGAATTACTTTTTTTTTAAAGAGACTATAGAGACTCCCTTTTATTACAAAAGAAATTCCGTGTGATTCAAAAATTCGGTACATATCTCGATAAAACTTTAAAAAAAACGCTTTGGCATTCACTTATAGTTATCTCTCGCTTTCCAACGAGTTGTCTCTCATTATTCGTCTTAACAAAAAAAACTAAAAACAAAAGAAACTAGCTCTTGACCTATCTCTTCCAAAGTACTTCCTCTTATTCTACTTAGTTTTCTTATATATATTCTTATATACATTCAGTTAGCCCCAGTGGCACAGCGGTATGTCTGTGTACTCACAACGCTAGAATCCGGGTTTCGATACCCGTGGTGGGCAGAGCACAGATAGCCCATTGTGTAGCTTTGTGCTTAATTACAAACAACCAATCAGTTAGGTTGTTACGTAGACAAAGCTTCTTTGAGCTAGGGGCATAACAATATAAAGGGATACAACAGTATTTAGAAAGCTAAGGATATGAGACTTTATAAGGGTACAAAACCTGAGAGTCGTTTCGACAATGAATTACTCTTTGAAAGTACTCCATTTAATTTTAGTTTTATCTGACAAATACGTTTACTTGATTACTTGCACATGGTTAGAATTAAGTTCATATGTGCACATTACTTTGAAAAACAAAAAACAACTGCACTTGAAAGTGGATGGCAAAAATACAAAACAATTTTTTCAAATATTACGTTCTATGTAGACAAGATGCTTAGTTGTTTTAAAATGATAAATATATATATCTATTATAACGTAAAAATATCCGGAAACCAACTGTTGTGTGAAATGGAAAGCTGGGAAAGGTTTTAAGTATAAATATTTTATTTGAAAAACATTCAAAATGCCAAAAGGTTAAAATATTGGACAGTAAATTCCTGTTTAATCTAATACATATATGTTCGTGTTATTGATATTGTATCTAAATTTGTGAAAGTCGTATTTCAAAAGTGAAAGAGCTTAAAGGCATTATGTTTTGTGTAATGATAAGCTCTAAGTTAACTTCGTGCATAGTCGTATCAAACCTAGAATTTAACATACTCCTTTGGAGTAATAAGTCTTCCCCCTCCAAAAAAAAGGTTTTCAATAAATGTCAAAACTGAAGGAACTTTCAGCTGTAAAATTACAAGTTAATCCTTTTACATTTTTATTAAACAAAGATTGAGTTTGCTTTTTTTCAGAAGTTGTACAGTTTTGAAAACGTATCTGAAAAGGAGCTCTTCAAAAACGCTTTCTTCTTTCAATAGCGAAACTTATAAATCGATTTAGATCAAATATTACATAACCAAATATGATGTCTCGGGTACCATTCGACTGGTACAATAATAATAATGCATACTAATAGCTTGAAGTACTTATACTGTACGATGCTGAATTACTACTTTTATTGATGTAACAATTGTTTATTTTACTTTCATATATAGACACACACACACACATATATTTATATATTCTTTTTGGAAACGTCAAGATACAATTCGGTCCATTAGAGTGCTTTGACTTCCAAATGATAGAAAATGTCTAATATAATGTTCTTATTATTGTGTGATTTCCCTACAAGTATAATACAGATACGATAGCAACAGCTTGATCGATCAGAAAATTTGCTGGGTTGTCTGAATCTGAAAACTTGACTGAGTCATTAGTTGAGCGAGAAATAAACAGATTGGGCACATTTGAGACAGCGCGCGTACTTGCGTAGATAGTCATTAACTCTGACTGTCTATTGTACTTGTGTGTAGCTAGAAAAGCCAAAAAGCGCCATTCTATATGTAAATCCAAGCCACACTTTCTAGAACAGGAGACAAGCTTATCCCCTGTTTAGAAAAGGAGCCTTTTAAACGAAAATTCCGTTTTCTGTCTATCACGATGGTGTGACCACATTACCGATCCCTATATCATAGCAATCCCAGGTCTGTGACGTAGAGAAATCGTCAATGGAAGGACGTCACTGTCTTTCTACAGACCAGAGGAAAGCAAGTAAGAAGGAAAATTAAATCTGGAAAATGGAAAGAGAGACAAGGGCAGAAGTTCACGCCAATACAACAACAACAACAAAAAAAAACGATTTTGGACCAAATTTTGCTATCCAAATTAGTATAGAAGCAAACTACACGGAAATTTCAAAATTTTCTGTATCTCGAGAAATTACACGATATACAGAATACATGACATACACATCTATCACGGTTGCACGCAATTCGATAAATATGTATTTTTATTTTATCTACCTATTCTTACTTTAGTATATTTCTAGCTTTTATTTTTTCTATCTATAGTAATATGGGGAGGGGGCAAAATGGTAAATGAATTTGTTATGAAGAGTTATCAATAAAAGAGGTAATAGAAAATAGATAATGTACCATAATCGACATTAGCATAGATATTCAAATATTTGATGTGTTATTCTACATCTAATGCAGAATAACACAGTGGAAGAGCTGCAAAGGAACAGAACTAGCGGAATGACACCAGAGAATGATGTGATTCTAGGCTCTGAGCTCATTATTGTTCTTT